ATTTGGAAAAACCTCTAGCAGGACTGGGTAGATAACAGATAAAGCAAGTTTTATGCTGATTTAAGGATTAACTGTTTTTCTGCTCTCAACTAACACCAAATATGTGGAGTTTTCTTTTTCCCACGCTGAACTGTTCTGGCACTCACTACCCAGAGTTAGCACAGACCACACTCTCCAGGTTAAGGGCACAGCCCACCAGGCTGACTTCCACATCAGATGTCAACTGCAAGTTCGGGCCATCCATACATCTGACCATCAGGTTTCAGATCAGGGACTCCTACAATCCCCTCCCTGGGTTTACTTACTTGTTAGAATGGCTCACAAAACTCAGGGAAACAGTTTACTTACTACCACAATTTTAAGGAATATTATTTTTAAAATGTATACGTGCAAACATTTGCCTTAAAAACAAAGTCATCATAAAAGTATTTTAAACATCAACAAAAATTAAGACTATAAACTCTAAGCTATTGGCTTGAATAGTTGTTCATGCCAGAAATACTAAATCTCTGTATAGTCACTGCTATATCATCAGATACAGATTTTCAAATAGTTAAAACATGTTCCCCAAACAGACAATTTTATATCATGGACCTCAATGATGGTTTGCATAACAAAGTATGCAATTAACATATGCAATTGGATTAACAGGGTGAAGCATAACATTTCATGCATAGAATTATTTAAAAGAATACTTTAAAAGGAACTTAGATCCTCTATGGATTAAACTATAAAACCTGGTTTTAATGTTTCATTGCTATGTTTGTATGGTTATTTTTAAAAGAGGGGTAGGACTTGATTTAAATTCATTCAACAGATTGTTAAGGCAACTTTATGCTGCATTTCTAGTCCAGAGCATAAATTTCAAATCTTCCTGATTTATTTACAACTTGAGCAACTGAGTACTAGATGATAAAGTCATAAAACTTAATATGATCGTCAAGTATTTTTTACTTACATGTATATATGTGTGTATATATATATATATATATACACACACACACATACATGTATGTGTATATATACATACACACATATAAACAGTCAAGCCAGTCACTTGATCCATAACTCTGTTTATACCACCCACATAGAGCTCACTTAAAGTATTATTTTTTTTAAGCCACTAGAATATTTTAAAATCAATTCTGGAAAAAAAAAGTTAATTAGTGCTTTACTCTGGTAATATAGCTAAGAAACTATCATATGCAATAATTTAGCAAATACTATCTCTTATGATCAGAAAAAAATTGCACATAGAAAGCATCTCTAGAGTTAAGCAAAGTAATTGTTAAAAGTTTCTTACATCAGTAAAGATAATACAGAGAAACTGAGTTGAAATATACCATTAGAGGCATTTGTCAGTGACTGAATTATCAAATTATCAGCAATGGATCACAGATGACGTTGTAGAACATTTATGGATACTAAAGAATGAATCAAGCCTTAGCTTTTTCCAAATCATTTTTCCCTAAAGGTGTATACAAAATATAGACCTCTAATTAGTAAATTATATGAAGTAACTATAGCTAATTAATCATATGCCATATTCTAGACCAAAAAGGCAACAAAAGACTAAAAGAATAAAACTAATCAGTTCAAATTCACCAAACACAGAATAGCCTACACATATGTGTAAAAGAGCTCTACACAAACACAGAGGTTTAGTACCACCATGCGTTAAAAAAAGATTGATATAATCTATTTAACTATAAACATATATGTCAACACTGGGAAGGTGCAGCCAAAAATCAAGACCATCTATATTATCAGAAATATCATATACATAACAAGGCAGGTCTTCTTTTTAAAAAAAATTAATTTTTATTTTAGCTTTATTGAGTTGTAATTGAACATATAAAATTGCAAGATATCTAAAGTGACATCATGGTGATTTGATCTTCGCATATGTTGTGAAAGGATTCCCCCCATTTAATTAATCAGCACATCCATCACCTCATATACTGATCTTTTTTTGTGAGAGAGACTACTTGAGTTCTATTTTCGTAGAAAATTTCAATTATACAGTGCAGTGTTATCAACTATAATCACCATGTTTTGCATTAGATTCTCAGACCTTATTTGTTTTATAGCTAAAAGTTTGTACCCTTTTACCAGCCTGTCCCTAGTTCTCCCATGCTCCCAGACCCCGGAAATCACCTTTCTACTCTGGTGATTTCCAAATTAGATGGACCACTTTTTTTATATTCCGTAAGTGGCACCAAGGGCACATCTTCTTTAAGCCAGAAAGAACATACATATAGCAGATATATGGAACTCAAGTCAATACCTTCTCTCTTTAGAGGAGGATCTATCAATGAACAGAAAATCTATCCAAAGACAACACACTTGATGCTCTATCTTATGAAAAATAGTTAAGAATCTAGAAAGGTTTCACTGATCAGAAGCTTAGAAGGATACAAGCAACTACCTACAAAACACCTAACAGCTCTCACAGAGATGGATTAGATTTAGGGAACAAAGTCCAGCATCTGAACACTACAAAAAGTTCTATTACAGCACCACAGAAAGCACAAACCAACACTCCACACTCAACAAGGAACAGAAGCTCCACCTTACATGTGTTCATATCCTCGGTGTTAACAACGCCAATTAGGGCACTCAAGGTTAAAGATACTGAATTAACCACATGGAAAAATTAGTACTCAAGTACAAAAATACTCTGCACAGAGGTAATGGTTTCTTTACTTAAGATGTATTTGTGGGGAATGTTTCCCAAATCTTCTTTAGGGAACTTTAGTGCCATGAGTTGTCTATGGTAAAGGATTACAAGAGAAAATGGAAAACGGCATAACCATTTGTCCCCTATTTGGAGATCCAGAGTATGTTAAAGAGTTGTGAGAAGACCCTCATTAAAGAAGTCTGTTTAACTTTATTCTGTTGCTTCCACAATTTTTTTAACCATAGCCCTTTTTGAACGGCATTTCTAATGAACATCCCAGGGTCTTCTGGTAAATTCTCTTTAAGGTGGAATTATGCAGTGGACAGTGTGTTGGGCTAGTAAGAATCAACTGAGATCTGTGCCTTTGAGGACAAAAGTAAACCCTGCATTTTAAACATTTTCACATACTTCAAACATCTTCAGTATTGTATTTTTAAGAAGGGACAAGCAACATCTAAGTAAGCTATCCTTGCTTCCTAAAACAATGAGAGAGGTAGCTTGAAGGCCTTGCAAGACCATCCTTTTCCCACTTTTGGTAGCTTAGTAGAGAACTGGCTTAGCAGGTCCAAGTTTGCTTAAAAGAAGAGTCAGATACCAAGCAGTGGGCTGCAAAAGCACCTCCTTTTCAACAAGGCCACTTTCCCAATCAACAAGCCTTCACAGGCACAGAGCCACATGGATATTCACTACTCCATTCCAGTAATGTGTAGAGCATGTCAAGTGTGGGGAAATGAATAACTGCAATGTAAATGTCAAGAACTTTTAGTGCAAATATGTTCCATGTAATATTTGGGACATACTTAAGCTAAAAAATATTTTTATCTGAACTTCAATGCTGTATTTCATCTGACAACCAGCCCCTCCAGTGGAATGTAAGCTACAGTGCACACAGACCACTTTTACTTCATCTAAAGCACAGGACAAAGAGAGTTCCAGGATGGTGTGTGCTCTACCATTCTCCAGCTTTTGGAATTTTCCCAAACTCTAGTTTGTTCCTGCATAGCATAGCACTAGTTGTATGCATCCATGACTTCTTTACATGGCACACAAGAAAGAGATGATTTATTTTTCCCACCATAATAATCTTTAGTGCAACCAAAGGCAATCTACTGAAAAGGCAACATACCTGAAGGAAGGTCCAGACCTGAGTTCTTATTCTTACTCTGCCAGTTATGTCCTTAGGCAAGTATAGGTACCTCTTTAGGCCTTGGCTGTGCTGACTGAGGAACCCCTGCAGCGTTAACATTTTGTAATTCCATAATCCTAAATAAACTCAACTTTACCTTGTCCTTGATGACCAACTAGAGATCATGCTTGCTTATTTTAAAAGCAGAGGAAACCACCTCAAAGGTAAAGAAAATCAGGGAACGGGCTAAAAGATGGTCCTTATATTTAACTAAAATCCATTTGTTTCAAAAGAAATGTTACTTTCAGGTTAAAATGGCACTTTAAATATCTCATTAAACAATAGCTGTTACTCATCAACCATAAAAATACCTATCATTCCCTGGACAATCAGTACCAAATCACTTTTATTCCAGACCATTAGAAACAGCAGTTGACTGTTTTACTTCCTTGACTCCTCTTGTGGCACACCTCTAAGACACCATAAAGCACTCTGCAAGTTCGGTGAAAGGTATCTATGCACAAAGGACAAATCCATCTTTTCTAACAGATTATCCAAACAGTTTCATTTAAATAGCACAAAGAATCTATAATGCGAATTCACTTTGCCTTTAGCTTAACTGGCTATTAAGAGAATGCCAATAACAGTTTTTCTCTAGTTAAATGCCATGCCCTCTGGTAATCTGAATGCCAGCCATTGCTTTCAAACGATTAAACTCTAGATCACCAACATTTTTAGCGTAGCATAAAAGAATTAAGCAAATTCAGATTATACAAACACCTGAGTTATGACCTTAGGGTTACTAGTTAAATACAAAAGTCCCGTTAAATTTGAAATTCAAATTTCAAATTCCAAATTAGGGATATACTTAAAATTATTTATTATGTATCTGAAATTCAACTTTAACTGGGAATTCTGTATTTTTCTTTGCATATCTGGCAATTCAATGTGGGTTACATAGTATGAGATATTTGCCAATTTTCATCTTTTTTTCCCCTAATCAAAACACTAGTTTTGATTTTTATTTTTCCCTTAGAGTCAAGAGTTTCTACCTACTGTAGATCATGAACAGAGGAGTAATCTTCCAGCCAAAACTTTTATTAATATCTCTTTGCTTTTAACAAAATCATGTTTCCACCATTAAAACTGTACTCTAATGAACACACAATCTGAAAAGACCAAAATGTTACCTACCTGTGGGTAGTATATGAGAAGACCACATAATAAAATATTTCTTTTTTTCACTTCTCTGGCCAATTCCTTAATCTGCATTAGGTCTTCCATTTTCCGACCAAACGGTATTGATTTATAATCAAGAAAATGCACCTGCAAAATAACATAAAAGGTAACAATTAGAATACCATTCTCTTCATTTTCCCTTGAAAAATATGCCATGAAAGAAGCCCAAAACACATCAAATCATAATATTGCAACTATCAATTCGTGTTAATGTCTAGTTGATCATTTCAAGCCATAAATGCTTGATAACATGGACCATGCTTTATAAGCACACATGCAGTAAATACTCAATGAGAACACACTGTTGAAAAATATAAAATACTAATATTCTATTTCAATTTGTGTCAGAGTCAAACATATAAAGAATATATAATTTCATTAATTCCCTCAACTTACTTCGTAATTTGTAATTTGAAACTAGGCTAGAGAGAAATAAACAAACATGTTAAGAAATTAACAGTAACAATAAAATTCAAGAAACTGCTTATCCAAATACATAAAATTTTTAGAAGAACCCCTTCTAAAGTAATAATTGGAATGCTAACAAATAATTATCTACTTCTTAAAGTAAATCCATAAGCATTTCATATAGAGTTCTTTAAGCAGTGTTAGTGTTTTTCTTGAAATTATTCCAGTAACTATTTTAAAGCATTATTTACATTTAAATTTTAAGGTCTCAGGGTGATGTGTCCTCTTTTCTGCAAATTATTGAAGTTTTATAGTACTATTTGTCTCTCATTGGACATAAAAGACCTAAATCACAATAATAGTCTCAAAATAACTAATTAAAATGCAAATCTATATATACAATGAACACAAATATATGTGTTCTTTTGCAATGTCAAATTTTAAAGACTCAAGAATTATAATTTGTTCAAATATGTGTATTCACTAACTAGAACCATTTGAAAATATACTCCACTGCCACGCTTCCTCTCTGCTCACTCATAAGGAGACGTGCTCTTTAGAAAATACACAACAAAACATCTTATTATACTCCATCTGTTAAACAAGGGAATGAGGTTTTTTTTCCTACTATCACATTGCATTTTACTCTTCTAGGGAAAAACTGCTTATATAACATTCAGTTTTAAAGATAACTATAAGATGATGTGCAGTGTATATTAATTTACTAGATATCCATTAACTACTTCCTGGAACTTTGCATTATAATATAGTCAGGTGAAGACATGCACATCCAGCTGCTTCCCCTTGAAATCTAAGGTGGCAATGAAGACTTTTTTCCTTAAAAAGTGCTCAACTGACAAAGAAACCAAAAGAACAGAGACGAAAACAAAAAAAAAAAACCTTTTTGGAAGATCAAAAGCAGAAAGAAAGTTTCAGGCTTTTCTACCTGCTGAAGAGCTAAAGAAAAGACGCTGTAACCCTGGAGTCTTGGGCTCAGCTTCCTCTAAGTTCTGTTTCTCTGAAAACTTACAAAGATGAAATTTCAGCTTTTTTACCAGGCAGCATTACTTATGGTAAAAGCAACTCCTGAATGGTGAACCACAACCAGGCTGGAAGAACTATGAATGAACTACAATCACTAGACCCGCCATCAGAGTCATTTGACTTGTCACCAGGTACTCCTCTAGCTGGGACTGGGAAGCTAACAGCTATCAGCTATGGCAAAAGATGTCCATTCCTATTTGCAGCCTCAGGCTTCTAAAAGAATGGCTCATACCACCTTCTGTAATCTCCTTCCCTCACCCTTGAGAAGCCAAGGTCGAGGCAGAAGTGAGGGAACAGAAAAGCAGCCCCTGTACCAATGCAAGATGATGAGCTCAAGAGCCAAAGCAGAAGACATGTCCACCTCTGCCCCACCTTTTTTCCTGCCCTGTAGTCTTCCACAGTGTTGGGCCAACTAGTGCGATACAGCCTTCCTCTAGTCTTATGAGTTTGCAATATCCACCTGAACCTAAAAGTGCTGGTGGTGGGCTTCCCAACAAAAAGCAGGTTAATTCCCCAAACTTGAGGCAATTTGGGAAACTGTAGTCATGGTATGAATCTGAAGCCAGGGGACTGGCTGAGGGTAAGAGTCTCCCCTCAGCCTGTATGGCCAGATCACTGCATGGCCCCTGACAGCTGGACTAGGGAACAACACTGCTTTTCAGAGTTAAAAGCCTCACACGCCTCTTTACCTCTTTTAACTGTGTAATTATCTGTACTATTTAGATACCATGAAATGCCAGCAGCCACCATGTCCAACATACTTTATGTGAATGGGATGCCTTAGAGATTTGCAGTGCACAACCTGGGCAACCTTACTGCCAGCCTAGATAGATAATGAGATAGGCAGACATTTCTTGATTAATACTAGTTTTTCTGACAAATTTTGAGTTCTGAAAAATCTCACACTATAGTAAGGAAGGTGGGTGGTTGGGAAAGGGTTTTTGGAAAAAACAGCACAAGACACTGAAAAGATCATTTTAATTTGTAATTACAGCCTGCACAGAAAGTTAAAACGCACAGAAATGAAAGAGTGGAAATACTGTTAACACATTATTTGGAGAAGAAATGATAGATATTCTACAACTGAGATTGGAGCTCTGCACCTCAAAGCTGCCATGAAAGTTGACCAGGAGGAAACAGCCCTCCAGGAGCAGAGGAACCTCTCTGCCAAGTCCGAGCTGGGAATGGGTGCTCATTTCTAATTTTCCTAGAAGAGTGTCCTAACAGAGACCTTAAAATTAATTTTTAAATTTCAGTTAATTACATCAAGGGTTAATTATAAAAGTCAGTAACTTTAGGAGCCTAAAAATGCTAGAACTAAAATTCTAGAGAATAAATTATATCAGAATGAGAATGCTCAATAGATAAAATGTGCTGAATACATTTTGTTTTGGAGGACAGAAATTAGAGACTTTGGTTAACTTATAATTATATATATTTTAAAAGTGATGCTGTTTAATTAAAGCTATAAACAATTGTATTTTATAGTTTCTGAACTTGCAGAGCGACTAAAGGATTATTTGTATCAATGCAGCAGAGCACAGGAGGAAAGCCAAGTTGCAAACAAAATGACTGGCCAACAGCAATAGCAAAAGAATAAGCTTGTAGAAGGAATACCAGGTATAAAGATAAATACAAAACATTTAACTCTTTCGTAAGTGACTGATTTACCAGATTGGATTTTTAAGAAAACCTAACAATATGCTAGTTTTAACATAGCTGTCGAATGAAAACTATCTTTCTAGGATAGGATAGTTTTCATTTGACATTTATATATGATAGTTTCTTTAGACATTTATATACGTACTGGTATGAAAAAAGACACCATACAGATAGTACCAACAATGAAGACTGGAGCAGTAAGGAAATCTTCCTACTCCTTAAAAAAGAATGTAATTTCATTTTTTTAAGGTAGCAAATTCACTCCTATAAACTAGTAAACTGCTTAAACATTTAACATGTGGGCGACTCTGTGGGTGGGCGAGGTTTCCAGCACAAAGAGTTTGGAAAAGGCTTCTCTGTGCCTCATGTCTTCTACACTCAGTTCTACACATGCTTTATATTTGTCTTGGTAACCATTTAATATAACCCTGGTCTCAGATGAAGTCCAACTAATTTTTTATAGTTAAAAATGTAATTTTTCACTTATCTCTGAGGACAGTTATATTAGTTAAAGGCCAATAGTTAATATTACATACAATATTCCTTAAAACATCAGGAATGTTCCATAACACCACAGTTAGCACTTTTGTCTCATTCCAGAGTCCATGTTCACAGGAAGGCCTGGGAAGGGAGTCAGGATTTGTGGTAGAAGTGAAAAAAGATTCTTTGTTTATTTGAGTACTGCACTGCTTAATGCCCACCAAAGTGGAAGGAAGATGGTCAAAATATAAGCTCTGGTAATTATCAAATAATTGAGTTAGAAAGAATTGGTAGATAGACCAGAGGTTCTTTGAAAACACACAATAGATACTGCAAAATTATCAACATATGTGTACAGAAAAGTAAATTGTGTAAATGAGGCCCAACATCTTCAAAACATCACTTTTCAAAAGAAACAGAAGGGAAATCTAATAATTGATGAAAGTGGTCAATATTAAGCAGATCAAAGAGTCTATCTTAAGGATTAAAAAAAAGCTTTAGAAAAACTTTTATCTCACTTCAGCTATTTATGAATTACATGGATATTAATGAAAATTACTTTAATGAATTGTACTTTTAAAAAGAAAAAAGGAACAAGCTTTAATATTGAGTCATTTCATTTTAGAACAAGTTTAAATCAATGTCGCCATAAAATTCAACTCATAATTCTGATGAACAAAAACGAATTAAGTTTTAAGTTATAATGGAAACTCAGAGCAAATGCTTAACAACTCAGTTGTAAATCTTAACAAAATACCAGCAAAGCTAGTAATGACATTTAACAAAAGATAGTAAATAAAATTGTACTTTGTATTAAAATACTAGCCATACAAAAGATTTAAATGTTTCTACTGATTCAATAAATTAAAAACTAAGTGAGTTTTATAATATCAGTAAAAAAAATGTTTTATTTGGCTGCATTTTTTTAGATCCTTATTTAAAAGATCAAAGTAATGGAATGAGAACTCCGTATTTTAAACAGTCAATAGAAAAACTTAATATTATTTAAAACATGCGAAAAAATCATAAAATGAACAGTTTTTCAGATTATTTCACAAGATTATTTCTACTACAAGAACATAACTCTGCCAGGGCTGTATTATGCCACAATTATCTGAAGCATTATATACAGCTATAATTAACATCTGTATCATCTACAACAAATTTTAAAGCCAAGAGTTCAAAGCAGTCCCAATGATTAATATGAAGCATTGATTTGTTTAGCTAATATTATTTGAAACATTTAACTTTGTATTTACTTATTTTTCTATTTGAGAAAACTGACAAAATTGTCAGAGAATATAAATCACTGAAGAAGTTACAAAAAGCAGGTATGTAATTCTTCACTGAGTGTAGCCTAAAATTTTTATATATTTTAGTGACTTGTCAAAATTTCATTTTACATGATAAAATATATTACTGCTTAAGCAACAGTTATTATTAGGGCCATTCAGATAAGCATTTTGTGACTTAAAAAACAAGGTATTTTTAGA